GAGACATGGCAGCCGTGACCTCTCGTGGAGTCCTAACCTACACCCCACCCATCTCACCCACGCTTCCACTGTTTTTCCATCGCATGTTTTCCCATCATACATCGCTCAAAATCAACTGCAGTAAACATTGCCTGACACTAATTACTCTATTTTGTTCCACGCCTTGCAACCGGCCCAGAATACAACGGGTGTGGATTTAGCTAGGCATTTGTCCACGGGAATAATGAGATAACCATAAAACAATTATTACATCCGTATTGCTCGGATTCGTCAGGCAAACTGGTAAAACGTTTTTGCATCGAGCGGCTGCGACATTCGTGTACCGTTGGTCAGGACAGCCAAAATCTGGCAAAATTTTGCCCAATATTAGCTCTGGGGAGGAAATTCGCTGGCAAAGTCCATTGACATTCAACCAGAACTGCTGGAACGAAGAAGTTAGACAAAAGAAAGGGAGGTACGGGAGGTACATCTCTTCGGCCTATATTCCACAGCTACAGCAGCGCTGGGTTCAAAAGATAGGTGAATTAATAATCAATGCTTTAGCCCGAGCACGCATACGTTGCGAGCTCCCCAAGGAACAGGAGGTTAAAAAAATGTATCCAGTCAAAATACGAGCCCTGGTTCTAGCAGGGGACCCTTATACTTAACCAAGTTCGCTAAGGCGGACAAGTTGCAACTATCATTCATTGTTAGCCCTACAAATAGCGCTTCGAAGAGTTATAAATCCAAACCCTTCAAACAGCAGGAAAAAATGAAAAAGCCGTTTCTTCAACTCACTTTTTGGCGAACGTGTTTGTACCAACATTGAACGACTGTATAGCTGAAGAAAAGTCATGGCCCATTTCCCAAAGCCATATGTGAACGTCTCGAACAGCATCCCACCTGTCAATAGACGACACTAAGGTCAACTGCACATCATTATTTGGATCGTATATAAATTGTCAATGGAATCTCGTTATACTCGAATATTGGGTGACAGCCAAATTATACACACTGTGGCGATGATGCAAGCACGTGCAGGACCACGGGGGAAATACTGCACTGTGTCAAATCTAACCAGCTAGAAAACACTAGCTAAACTGTATGCGTGCAACCTAAACGTATGCGTGCAACCGCAACGCGAATATTCCGAGCAGCACCCTTCGAGTTATGAACCACTGCGGAACTTACCGATCATTTCCATCTTTATCTTTGCCATTATACCGAGACCATTGAGAATGGCAGCGCCTTCCTAAACATAAGAAAGATTAGTGGTTCTAGACACAGAGATACGATCTAATTTTATAGTGAATTTATGTGCGCACTATTACTGGGGCAATATAATCTCCTCGTCATGCGAGTGACGATGTTAGACCCTCCCTTTCTACAATACGATGTTTTAGACTGGTCAGGTAGTAAGGTGGAAATTTCCGAGCAGGGAGGCGGAGAAGGTCATTGTTGGGGGGGAAAGGTTTATCCAAGCCATCATCGATCCGCCTGGTTTCAGAAGTGGCACAGCTCTCACACTCTTCTCCAGTAAACGATCTTCCTACAGTTACTAGGACAGGTAAGGAAAGGATTCTAAATTTCCAGCGGGGAAAAACCGAACAGCCGTTCTTCCCGAAAAACCGAATTTAAACGTGACGCGGCATGGTTTCGTTTAGCGGCTTATTTTGAGCTTCTTTGCGTGAACGCTGCTATGAGCATTTTAGCCTGGGCAGGTAGTACGAGGGAAACTTCCAACGCAGGAACGCGGGAAAAGGTCTATTCGGGGAAATGTTCCCCATCCCCAGGAGTGCCCTGGTTCTAGCGGCATACAGCTCTCACCCTCTCCAATAAACCAATCCTCCTCACCACTAGGGCGATGCAAAGGGAAAGTTCCAGATCTCTAGCGGAAAGGCGGAATAGCCTCCTCTTACCGCATGCAATCTCTTTTTAAGGCTTATTTTGTAGCTTCTTGCGTGAATGCTGTACTATGAGCGTTAGCCTCTACTGTAGCAACATTCCTAGGAATATTTATGAGAAACTTGACAACTACAAGTAAACACTTACAATTATGAGCCAAATGGCACAGTAGCGATACATGGTGAGCCTGAACCATATCATTGTCCACGTCCATCGCATGAAGAATGGCATATTCTTAAACAGATAAAAAGATTAAAAGCACAATCCGTTCCTACTGTTGGGTAGGACTACGTCTACGATTGTGCATCCCTCTCTGGTTAACCTCTCCTACTTCACATAAGGGAATCGCGCACCAACAAAGAAATGCCTTATTCCACTCAGGTAAGACACTGTGGAATAGCGAGACCTGCTGCGCAATCCCTTATGTGAGCTGAAGAAGAGGGGTTCACCATTGAAGAATACACTACCGCAGACCTGCTCCGCCCCAAAAAACCACCGTGGAACATTCCTTCAAGCGAAAAATAGCGTGAGTAATTGTGGAAATACGAATCTCAAAATGGGAAATCTAGCACGATAGAAATTTGTCTACTGTATCTCAAAAAGCACTACTTTGTTGAGTGGTATTCTCTCGAAATACCAAAATTATTTATAAGTAAACCCAACACCAATGCAACTCGGAGAATTTTCTCGAAACTAAAGAAAAATGAGAACGGTGTAAAGCAAATACTATATACTCCCTATGATAGTGGACACACGGCTAGAA